AGACTCTTGAATGCTGACAAAAACTGAGGACTGATGGATGTGGGGGAGAGGGGGGGATGGGCATGGAGGAGGGCACTTTGGGGATGAGCACTGAGGTGTTATGTAGAAACTAATTTGACAATAAACTATTTGTAAAAAAAAAAAAATAAATAAAAAAAAATAAAATGAAGTCATTAGGGTGAGTCCTAATCCATTATGACTTATATCCTTATAAAAAGAGGAAACAAAGAACTTGCAGAGGGAAAATGATGTGAAGACATACAGGAAGAACATCTTGTGAAAAAGCAGGCAGAGACTGGAGTGATGTGTCTTTAAGCTAGAGACTGCCAACAAACCACCAGAGACTATCAGAGAGGCCTGGAATAGATACACCCTCAAGGCTCTCAGAAGGAACCAAACCTGTCAATGCCTTGATGTTGGCCTTCTGGCCACCAGGACTGTGAGACAATGATTTTTTTTTTTTAATCCACCCAATTTATTTGTTACAGCAGCCCTAGAAAACTAATACAAACAGTTATAATTATTTTTTTAAAGGGAAAGTAACTGTTGGCAAGGAAGTAGAGAAATGAGAACCTTCATAACATTGCTGGTGGGAATGTAAAATGATCCAGTCTCTGTGGAAAACCTCTGCAAGTTACACAGAGAGAATTACCTTATGACCCAGCAGTTCTATTTTTAGGTTTATCTCCCAAAGAATTCAAAGTAAGTACTAAAATACTTGTATATGAACATTCATAGCAGTTTTATCATGCTGTACAGCCAAAAGGTGGAAACAACTTAATGTCTATCAATGGATGAATGGATAAATATGGTATAGACATGCCCTGGGATATTATTTAGCCATAAAAAGGAGTAAAGTACTAACACACGCCACAACATGAACCTCAAAAATATACTATATGAAAGAAGCCAGACACAAAAGGTCACATATTACGTGATTCTGTATTATATGAAAAATCCAAAATAGGCAAATCCATAAAGAGATTGGTTGCCAGGGGCTGGGGAGTGATTAATGAGTAGAGTGTACTTTGGGGACCATAAAACGTTTGGAACTGGACAGAGGTGGTAGTTGCACAATATTGTGAATATACTAAATGCACTGAACTGTATACTTTAAAATTGCTACTATGTTTATATTATGTGGATTTCAGGTCAGTAAAAACAAAAATAACCAGGACTCCTGGAACCCTGTTACTTTCTACAATTTAAACTTCATGAGTTATACTCATCTTTATTTCATATTATTTGTCAGTGTTTAAATAATATGTTAAGCACATACACAAATTTAGGTACATAAAAATCACTTCACATTATTGACCTTCCCTGAAAGAAACCAAAAAGAATCTCAACTTAATTTAAAGAGAAGAGAAGAGAAGAGAAGAGAAGAGAAGAGAAGAGAAGAGAAGAGAAGAGAAGAGAAGAGAAGAGAAGAGAAGAAAAAATACTATAGAGAAACAACAAAGCAGTGGAAGCAGGCTGAGCTTCAGGGCCAGGTGAGCTATAAATCCTTCTCTTCTTGTATATTAGCTCTACCGTTTTGAGCAGCCTTTTATCTTTTCCAAACCTCAGCTTTCTTTTCTAGGAAAGGATACTATTGTGGCAAAATCAAATGAGATACAGTTTACTTGTGTAAAGCCCGGGTCCTAGTGTTAGGCACAAAGAAGGCCAAAATATAAAAATAAAGTACTGGAGCTTCAAATTGTACTGTAGCCAGTGACAAATCAGACACAGAAGTCATTACTATATAATAAGGAAGAAAAACCACTAAGTAGTAAAAGAATTCATAGATTATAACAAAAGATGTTAACTCCACTGAGGCATGTATTACTATGAAGTATCATGTTTAAGTTACTCTGTAGGCAGCAATTACTGTTTATTGATTCAGCTCTGTGAGAATTAAAGATATGCCATATGTGATTTAGTAGAGTAAAAAGACAACTTTCTCCACTAAAAAAGGATATATAGCACACTATTATGGGCACCAGTAAAAAACATGAACATTTCATGTGTACCTTATCACAACAGAAAAAGAATATTTTCTGGAAAGTAAAAGATCAAAGACTTTATTCTCAGCAGCTTGAATGCATATTCTTCTTAAAATTTCTATATTTCAAAATATTCATGTTTCATCATAAAATTGTAGTTTATTTTTAAGAAAAATGAAAACTAAAAAGCCAAAAACTCAGTAAGTTATCTAGATTAGGCAATAATTATGGATAGATATGGTTATCTGAACAAACTAACAAAGAATTGAAAGGATTATTACCCTGCTGGAAATTTTTAAAAGAAAGATTACCGAAAGTAAACTGATATTAAAAGGCATATCCATACTTTAAGGAGAAAAAGGGAAAGTGCCAATAGAAAAATGCCCAGTACAGCTTGTAGACTTATATATTACTTATTCATTTGGTCACCCGCTTTGTACTATGAGAGATAATTTTCCAGGGGTCTCAATTTTCTGAACATTTTGCAAGCAGAGAAAACAATGGCCTTTGCTCCAGAACATTTTTTCAAGGATGTACATATATTAAAGAGCTTTAGAAGATACAGTACCTTTCACTGAATGAAAGAGTACACATGCTACTATTGTCCACTATAAAAGATTCAGATTCCCTACACTCAGGATTTCTCTTTTCCAGTATAATGGATGGTAAATGCTAGTAGTACTTGGCCTTCTTCATGTAGCCGTCTGGGAATGGTGCAAGAAAATGCTGATACAACTATCGCTACAACTTTCACGTCTTCTGCCATCATCCATGAACTGTGACGACTAAGTAAATTGCAAGTGTGGCAAAATTTTAGACCTTTCACAATATTTAACCATGGATCAGATACTGTGGGAGGTGATTTAAGGACAGAGGGTTAAATGTTAAAATCTCACACTGAAGATTTCAGACATCTAATGCCATCTATCCATGAGGCACATTATCACTTAACTTAAACTTCATATTTAACATGAAACTGTTTTTTTTATTAACCTTTAATCAAGTAATGCATGTGGAGCTAAAGAAAAATATTTAAGTACACAGTATGGCTAATTATTAATGTCAATAGCTTCCACATAACATTTCTTTCCTGCTTGGTCTGCCCCCAAGAGGTAATTTCTAACCATTTCCATTTGGACCTATAGATGTGACCTACATAATTCTAAATTACATATTGTTACTTTGAGTTCTTTATTTAAAAGATGAATATTTGGCTCATTTATGCTATTTCCATCTTTTTTCAATAAAAAATTTAATGTATAATTTTCACGCAATTAAATATACTCCTTTCACTGTATAGTTTTATAAAACTGGACACACTCAGTTATGGTATCCCCACTACAATCAAGACAAAACATTTCCATAACCCAAAAGTATTTCCTCATCTGCTTGTAACTAATAACCTCCCCTGCTCCTAGCAATCACTGTTTTCTGTACCTATAGATTTCTTTTGGAGAATATAACATAGAAGGAATCACATAGTATGGCTTCTTTCACTTAGCATGAGTGATGCTATTGGGTTTATCATCAGTAGTCTGTTCTCTTTTTACTGCAGAATAATATTCCATTGTATGACTATATCACAAGCTGTTTATTCAGCCACACACTGAAGAACAAATAGGTTGTTTCTAGTTTTGACCAAGTAGAATAAATCAACTACAAACATTCATATAAAAGTTTTTGTGTGGACTTACGCTTTTATTTCAAAGGTATAAAGAGCAGTGGTAATAACTATGTCATACAGTATAAGAAACTACCAAGCTGTTTTTCACAATGGCTCTACCACTGGACTTCCTCCAGCTATGTATCAGACTTACAGTCACTCCACATCCTCACTAGCATTTGGTATTATCAATTTTTAAAATTTACTTCACATACAGTGTTCACTGTAATTTAAACTGCATTTCCCTAATATCTAGTAATGATTTTTTTTACTGTGCTCGTCTTTCACATATTTGGTAAAATGTCTGTTCCAACTTTTTATTCATTAAAAAATGATTTTCTGAGGCACCTGGGTGGCTCAGTTCATTAGGCATCTGACTTCAGCTCAGGTCATGATCTCATGGTTCTTGGTTGGTTCAAGGCCCCCTTTGCTGACAGCTAAGAACCTGGAGCGTTCTTCAGATTCTGTGTCTTCTCTCTCCCTCTCTGTCCCTCCCCTGCTCATGTTTTTGTCTCTCGAAAACAAATGTTAAAAAAATAAAAATAAAAATTGACTTTCTAATCACTGAGTTTTGAGAGTTCTTTATATCTTTTTAAAAATTTTAATTTAGACACAGAGAGAGCACAAGCAGGGGAAACTGGCAGATAGAGAGAGGAGAATCCTAAGCAGGCTCCATGCTCAGTGGGGAGCCCAATGTGGGACTCAATCCCATGACCCTGGAATCATGACCCAAGCCCAAATCAAGAATTGGATGCTCCACTGACTGAACCACCCAGGTGTTCCAAGGGTTCTTTATATCTTTATATGTTCTGGATACAAACTTTTGAAATGTGTGACTTGCAAATATTTTCTTTCAGTGTATGGCTTATTTTATCATTCTCTGACAAAGTATGATTTATCAGTATTTTCTTTTTCATTGAACATATCAAACCCAAGGTTGAGAGTTTACATTTAGGTCTATAATCCACTTCAATTTAATTTTTATATAAGATTTGAGATATGTGTCTATATTCTTTTCTTTTTTGCATATGGACACTCAATTGTTCTACAACAACTTGTTGAAAAGTCTATCCTTTCCCTCTTGAACTGGTTGCCCATTGGGGCATCTGAGTGGCTCAGTGGGTTAAGCTCCTGACTCTGGACTTTGGCTCAGGTCATGATCTCACAGTTCATGGGTTTGAGCCCCACATAGAGTTCTGCACTGACACTGTGAAGCCTGCTTAAGATTCTCTCTCTCCCTTTCTATCCCTCTCCCACTCACTCTTTATCTTTCTCAAAATAAATAAAACTAAACTTAAAAAAATATGGTTGCCCACTTACAGGGCACCTAGGTGGCTCAGTCAGTTAAGCTTCCAACTTTGGCTCAGGTCATTATCTCATGGTTCACAAGTTTAGTCCTGAATCAGGCTCCATGCTCAAAGTACAAAGCCTGCCTGGAATTCTTTCTCTCCCTGTCTCTCACTTACAGGCTCTTTCTCTCTCAAATAATAAATGAACTTAAAGTAAGTTAGTTGCCCACTTTTAAATATGTAGGTCTACTTCTGGACTTTTAATTTTGTCCAGTTGATCTCTATGTTTACCATTTCTCTAATATCACATTGTTTTGATTACAGCAGCTTTAAAGTAAATCTTGAAATCAGGTAATGTGTACCTAAACTTTGATCTTTGATTGCTTTCATAAGTGTTTCACCATAAAGATCTTGCACATATTCTGTCAGATAAATGCATTTAAAAAAGTATTTATTTCTTTTTGGTACTATTGCATACAGTACTTCAAAAAAAACACCTTCTAATTTCCAGTTGTTTGCTGGAAGAGATACTAATTTTTATATATTGGCTTATTATCCTGCAAACTCTTAGTTAAAGGTTCTTTGACATTTTTTTAAAGATATTTACATTGGGAATATAGAAAGGTTTTCTTTCTTTCTAATTTGCCTTTTATTTCTTTTTCGTGCCTTATTGTAGCAGCTAAAGTGAGAGAGCCTTTTGTTTTAAAAATTGTTTTTATGTCCTTATTTTATTTTGAGAGACAGACAGCGAATGGGGGAGGGGCAGAGAGAGAGGGAGACACAGAATCTGAAGCAGGCACCAGGCTCTGAGATGTCAGCACAGACCTCGACGTGGGCTTGAATCCACAGGCTGTGAGATCATGACCTAAGCCGAAGTCGGACACTTAACCGACTGAGCCACCTGGCACCCCAAGAGAGAGAACATATTTTGAATGACTTCAATTCATTTAGATTTGTAGTAGATTTTTTAAGACCCAGAATATGATATATCTAGGTTGACGTTTCATGGACATGTGAAAAAAAGTGTATATTCACCTGGTTAGGGAAGTATGTTCTACAAATGTCAGTAAGATCAAGATGGTTAACAGTGTTGTTCAAGCCTTCTATATCCTTACTGATTTTCTGTCTTATTTTTTTTAACATTTTTATTTTGAGAGAGAGAGAGTGTAAGTAGGGGTAGGACAGAGAGAGAGAGAGTGTGTGCAAGTAGGGGTGGGACAGAGAGAGGTTGGGGGGGGAGAATCCCAAGCAGGCTCTGCGCTAACAGTGATTCCTAGAACTATGAGATCATGACTGAGGGCTGAAATCAAGAGTCAGATGCTTAACTGATTGAGCCACCCAGGTGTTTCTGTCTACTTAATCTATTAATTACTGAAAGAGAAGTGAACTCTTTAAATGTAATTGTGGATTTGTCTAGTTTTGTTTTCAGTTCTGTTTTTACATCGTGTATTAAAAAAATTTTTTTAATGTTTATTTGTTTTTTCAGACAGAGAGAGAGACAGCATGAGCAGGAGACGGGCTGAGAGAGAGGGAGACACAGAACCTGAAGCAGGCTCCTGGCTCTAAGCTGTCAGCACAGCGCCTGACACAGGGCTCGAACTCATGGGCCATGAGATTATGACCTGAGCTGAAGTCAGACACTCCACCAACTAAGCCACCTAGATGTCCCTTACACCATGTATTTTTGAGCCATGTTGTGGGGATATAAACATTTAGGATTTTGATGTCTTATTGGTGAACTGACATCCATGTTAATGTTTTTGGGAAGACAGTTGAGGGATAAATGCAGGACTGCCCATTGTCTTTGGCTTTATTCTGTTGTTCAACTGCAGTTTTCTAAAGTTTGGGTATCAAGCTCATTCAAAAGGAAAAATGTGATCCAATGAATGTGCTTTTTTAAAAAAGTAGGTGATGCCCCAGCAATAGCACTACTAGGAATTTATCCAAAGGATACAGGAATGCTGATTCATAGGGGCATATGTACCCCACTGTTTAGAGCAGCAATATCAACAGTAGCCAAATTATGGAAATATCCATCAACTGATGAATGGATAAAGAAGATGTGGTTTACATATACAACAGAATACTACTTGGCAATGAGAAAGAATGAAATCTTGCCATTTGCAGCAATGTGGACGGAACTGAAGGGTATTATGCTAAGTGAAATAAGTCAGTCAGAAGACTGAGAAATTTTCTCAGTCCGAGAAAGAGAAGGTCCATGGGGGAAGGAAACGGAAAAAAACAGTTTCAAACAGAGAGGGAGGTAAACCATAAGAGACTCTTAAATACAGAGAACAAACTGAGGGTTGATGAGGGGAAGAGGGGAAATGGGTGATGGGCATTGAGGAGGGCACTTGTTGGGATGAACACTGGGTGTTGTATGTAAGCGATGAATCATGGGAATCTACTTCTGAAGCCAAGAGCACACTGTATACACTGTATGTTAGCTAACTTGACAATAAATTGTATTAAAAAAATAGGTGATGCCATTTAAGTCATAATGATCTCTTTTCTGATCATCAAGATTCTGATTATTAGCATCTAGGTATTTTTTTAATAGTTGAAGGTATCTTTCTAACGTAGTGCTTCTCTGAAATAAGAGTAGCTACATTTTTATCTTACATGGATTTTAGTGATTTTTTTCTTTATTTTCCCCCCAATATTTTAAAGTGCACTTGGAGTTTTTAAGATCTAATTTGCACTCATGCCAACCTGCAACTAAGCATTCATCAAAATGTTTTACATGGATTTTTAATTCATCAACTTTTTGCCCTTTAGAACACAGTCTCCCAGCTGCTTCATTCTACTGAGATCTACTCAAAAAAGACATCAATTGAAAGCAAAATATTATTTGCAACTTGCCCACATGCACTATACATCTGTGTTCATCTCAGATAAAAGGTTACAATGCAAGCTGATGTGGAAATTACTGTTCATCTTCAACTCAGTAAAGGATCTACTTACAGACTGACGGTAAATGGAATGCAATGGAGTCAAAAAGCAAAGCATGTAAAAACATCATGTAGGAATACTGACCATACTGACTCCATCTTTGGCTTACCACCTTGTCCATGTCCACATGATGGCCTCCCTAAGTGCTACATGTTCTAGGCCCCTTGGAGGTTAAAGTATGCCATGACCAGAACACAGGGAGAATTGTTCTGGTCTTTCCTAAATCTGATTAGGTAACAATTAGAAATAACTTAATTTCTCACCCTTCCTGACTCACAGATGGCACCACGAGTTCTGTTAAATGTTACCTATCAATTAGGTAAGTGTATGCTGATCCTGACTGTACTACAGTGCCCTCCAGTGTCCCCTCACTGTATAAAATCATGGACTAAAGTCTGGACTTTAAGGAAAATAGCTGTGCAGCTGTCCAGATCGCTGCCTGTCCAATCCTGTCAGGAAGTTACCCTGAATAAAATGCTTTGTAAACTGCATGGAGTTGCCTCTTTAATTTCTTGGTCTCAAAGTGCCTTATAAGTTTGGGGGATACTTTATTGTCCTTTCTCCACTTTCCAACACATAGTTATTACTATTAAATAAACATACTGACTTATATTCTCAATAGACACTGTAATTGCCTATATTTTTAAAAAAGCGATTCTTTATGATGGCAAAAAAAGCCTATCAAATTTATTGTTAACCTTTCCTACATCCAAAACACCATTTTTAACCTCTACTCTAAGCTAATAACCAGACCTTTTCCTTTACAATGAAGAGTTAAGTCCTCTTAATCCGCTCCACCAACTTCCCTTTGTTCTACCTCTACATTTTTCTCTATATTCCCACATGGGCAGAAAGATATGCCTTTTTCTGTCACTATCCTTCTGTGCAAGTATAGAGATTCCTTTCTTCAATAAGATTTTCACATTGAGTTCCCATGTGCCTCTTTCTGCAGCCCTCCAAGCACACTCTAGCATCCACCTCATACAAAAATATGCCCACTTACTTTTCCAACATTTTTTTTAGCATCTAATGAGTGCAAACTCACTGAATTACTATGATAAAGTTAAAAGGAAAAAAAACAACAACAACCTAATCCTCCTTTCAGGAAACTTACAAATTAGTGGGGAAGGTTAACAATTAAGTAATTATAATTTTGTGTAATAAGTTTATGAGCAAAGGCATGTACAGTATAATCATGATATAAAGGAAAGAGAAGTTAATTTTGCTTAGTTCAAGGAGTTATCTTTCTTTTTTCTTTTTAAAATTTTTTTTTAATGTTTACTTATTTTTGAGAGACAGTGTGTGAGCAGGGGAGGGACAGAGAGAGAGTCAGGATTCAAGGCAGGTTCCAGGCTCTGAGCTGTCAGTACAGAGCCCAGTGCGGGACTCAAACCCACATACCACGAGATCATGACCTGAGCCGAAGTTGGCCGCTTAACCGACTGAGCCACCCAGGTGCTCCGAGAAGGATTATCTTTCAGAAAGTATTTTTATCAAGATTACCCTCTCCTTTTCTCTTCATACAAACAGGTTCAGGTCTCCTCTAAACCATCCCAAGATGTTTAAACTAATATCACCCTATCATCCCTCTCACTAGCACCTTATTTGAAAAGGCCACTTATATCACTATTTACATACTCAATCTGTCTTTTTTCATTTATCTTTTGAATAAATGTGATCTGGTTTTTGATTTCCACCACTACAGTGACACCTTTCGCCAAATCAAAGTTGGGAACCCACTCAACACACCCAGTCACCACCTTTTCTCAGTCCCCCTCTCTCATGAAGGACACCTGTGGACCCTCTCCTCAAAATTCAGTGACTTGTATGATACTTTATTTCCCTCATGTATTTCCTTTCTCTCCCTTTTTGTTCAGTCTTTGTGATTTTGCTTCTCTCTGCTGACAAAAAAGAAGCAATAGCCAAGATTCCATTTTAAGACACTGCTTTTTACTATCTACCCCTGTATCCATTACTTTGTTCACACACACACACACACACACACACACACACACACACACACACACACACACACGTCTCATGATAATCACCCTTAAATAAACTGGGGCCGAGAGAGGGGGAAAAAAACCCCAAAAACCCATGGAGTCAGAAGGCCTAGCTTTAATTCTGGTTTTACCACTTACCTATTAGCTGTGTACCCATGGCATATCACATCCTATGTGGCTCCATAAAAGTGAATAGATTCGTAGTGTTCCTTCCAACCCTACAGTTCTACATTTCTAACTGGGAAGAAGCTCAAATTTCCACTTTTAACTTCTCTAATGCAATACAAATCTACATTCTGTCTGCCATTTAAATATGCCACCTCTAAACCTAATCTCACAAACCAACTCATTTCTCTTGTCTATTAATGTTTATGTACTAGGGCCTCCATTATCCTGAGCTTGAAATCATAATAATCAATACACATACTGCCTTTTATTCTTGCATTCTCTTCTTCTAATTCCCACTCCCCACCCTCTACCCCTGACCTAGGCATAATTCAAAGAGTAGATCTCCTGGAGGTTGGAAGATGGCAGCAGAGTAGGAGGACTCTAGGCTCATCTTGTCCCATGAATATAACTAGGTAACTATCGAATCATCTTCATTAACCCAGAAATTGAACTGAAGGCTGACAGAACAAACTCCACAGCTGAAGGAAGAAAAACAGCTAGTGGCCACTGCAGTGGAGAGGGAGCTGCACTTGTGGAGAAGGGCAAGAGACAGACTACCTCACAGGGGAGCTCGTGGGGACAAGGAATCACCATAGCAAATGGCTTGGAAAGTGAGAGGGGATGAATTTCATAAGTCCTTGCAACTAGCAGGGCTTAAAGCCTAGAGTTTTTTTTTTTTTTTAATGTTTTTTATTTATTTTTAGGAGAGAGAGAGAGACAGACAGCGTGAGCAGGGGAGGGTCAGAGAGAGAGGGAGTCACAGGCTGAAACAGGCTCCAGGCTCTGAGCTGGCAGTCAGCACAGAGCCCGACGCGGGGCTCGAACCCACGAACTGCGAGATCATGACCCAAGCGAAAGTCGGACGCTTAACCGACTAAGCCACCCAGGCGCCCCTAAAGCCTAGAGTTTTAAACGTCAGCAGCCTTAGCTCTGGGAGAATTTGTTCTGCTCTTGGAGAAAAAGGAAGGGAAAACAGCCTGGGAACATACAGCCTGAAAACAACAATCTGAAGAATACCAAAGCACACAGTGGGGAGGTTATTTACTCATCTCAGAGCATACCCCAGACAGACAGCGTTCAGAGAACTCCCTCTGGGAACAAAGGAAATTGCGGGTGCCATTTCCCTCCCATGACCCTCATTATAAGCACAGAGCCACCTGTGGGAAGCAATGCAGTACCAACATCTGCTACCTAACTGGCTTATACCAAGCCCTGCCCTCCACGCCTCGGTGGAACCACCCTTCCCACTCACCTTGCCTCAGTCTCAGAGCTCAGATCCCCTCTCCCAGAAGACCAGCCCAAACACGTGCTCACACCTCATTCGGGAGTTTTGCAGAGCCTCGGTTCTGGTGGCACTGGAAGTAGGTCTCATTTCACACATAGACCACAGCATACAACCTTGCCTTACAACTAAAGGAGCTAGAAAAAGAACAAGCAAAACCTAAAACCAGCAGAAGAAAGGAAATAATAAAGATGAGAGCAAAAATAGATGATTTTCAGCTTGCCGACGTGCACTATACATCTGTGTTCATCTCAGATAAAAGGTTACAATGCAAGTCCAAAGGCTGATGTGGAAATTACTGGTCAGCTTCAACTCAGTAAAGGATCTACTTACAGACTGACGGTAAATGGAGGAATGCAATGGAGTCAAAAAGCAAAACATGTACAAACATAATGCAGATGATTTAGAAACTACAAAAAACCACTTGAACAGATCAATGAAAGCAGGAGTTGGTTCTTTGAAATAATCAATAAAATTGATATCCTTCTAGCCAGACTTATGAAGAAAAAAAAAATAGAAGGGACTTAATAAAATCACAAATGAGAGGGAGAAATAACAACCAATACCATAGAAATATAACTATAAGATAATATTATGAAAAACTGTGTCAACAAACTGGGTAACCTAAAAAAGGATAAATACCGAGAAACATATAGGAGCCCCTGGTGGTTCGTCAGTTAAGCATCTGACTTGATTTTTAGCTCAGTTCATGAACTCACAGTATGGGGTATGAAGCCCCAGGTTGGGCTCTTTGCTGATAGCACAGAGCCTACTTGTAATTGATATTCTCTCTCTCCCCGCCCCCCCCACTCCCTCTTCCTCTCTCTCAAATAAACAAAATTTTAAAATATCTCTAGAAACATATAAACTACCAAAACTGAAAGAGAGGAGAAAATTTGAACAAATTACTGGAAAAGAAATTGAATAAGTTATCAAAAAATTCCCAACAGACAAAAGTTGAGGTATAAACATATGGCTTCACAGGCAGATTCTACCAAACATTAAAAGAAGAGTTAATGGTCCAAAAAATAGAAAGGAAACCTCCAAATTCATCTTATGAGGCCACCATTATCAATACCAAAACCAGATAAAGTTACCAGTAAAATAGACAAATACAGGCAAATATCCCTGATGAACACAGATGCAAATATCCTCAAAAAATACTAACAAACCAAATCGAACAATACAGTAAAAAAAAAATCATTCATCATGATCAAGTGGGCTTTATTCATGTGTTGCAAGGGTGGTTCAATGTTTGCAAATCAATCAATGTGACACATTAATTACATCAATAAGAGAAAGAACCATATGATCATTTCAATAGATGAAAAAATATCTGACAAAGTACAACATCCATTCATGATAAAAAAAAAAACCCTCAACAAAGTAGGTTTAGAGAGAACATACCTGAACATAATAAAATCCTTATGCAAAAAACCCACAGCTAACATCATTGTTAATGGTGGAAAACAGAACTTTTCACCTAAGGTCAGGGACAAGACAAGATGTACACTCTCGTCACTTTTATTCAACATGGTACTAGAAGTCCTAGCTACAGCAATGAGACAACAACAAAAAAGAAATAAAAAAAAAAAAGAAAGAAATCAAAGGCATCCAAATTGCTAAGGAAGAAGTAAAATTTTCACCCCATTTGCAGATGACATGTACTGAATATAGAAATCTTGAGAGACTCCACCGAAAAACTGCTAGAATTGATAACAGAATTAAGTAAAGTCACAGGATAAAAAAATCAATGTACGCAAATCTGTTGCATTTCTACACACCAATAATGAAGCAGCAGAAAGAGAAATTAATTAAGAAAACAAGACATTTACAATTGTACCAAAAGTAATACTTAGGAAACCTAACCAAAAAGGCGAAAAACCTATACTCTGAAAACTAGAAGACATTGATGAAAGAAATTGAAAGTGACAAAAAATGGAAACACATGCCTTGCTCATGGAATGGAAGAACAAATACTGTTACAATATCTATACTACCCAAAGCAATCTACACATTTAATGCAATCCCTATCAAAATACCACCAGCATTTTTCATAGAACTAGAACAAACAATCCTAAAATTTGTATGGAACCACAAAAGTCCATGAATAGCAAAAAATCTGGAAAAAGCAAAGCAAAGCTAATGGCATTACAATTCCACGCTTCAAGTTACATTAGAAAGCTGTAGTAATCAAAACAGTACAGTACTTGCATAAAAACAGACAAATCAATGGAACAGAATAGGAAGCCCAGAAAAAAACAAACAAACCCATGGAAAAGACAGTCTCTTCAACAAATGGCAATGGGAAAACTGGACAGCAACCTGCAAAAAATGAAACTGGACCACTTTCTTACACCAAACACTAAAAAAAAAAATTGAGTGGAGTAAAAACCCAAATGCAAGACCTGAAATCATAAAAATCCTAGAACACAGGCAATAACCTCTTTGAGATCAGTTGTAGTAACTTCTTTCTAGATGTTTCCTGAGGCAAGGGAAACAAAAGCAAAAAGAACTATTGGCACTACATCAAAATAAAAAGTTTCTCGATTATACATCTGACCCTTCATTTTGGTTGAGGTCATGATCTCAGGGTTGAGACCAAGCCCCAAACCAGGCTCAGCACCTGGCCTGAAGCCTGTTTAGGATTCTCTTTCCCTCTCTCCCTGCCCTTCCCCCACTCACATGCTCAATTTCTCTCACCCTCCCCAAAACAAACAAACAAACAAACAAACAAATTGAAAGGAAAAGCTTCTGTATGGTGAAGGGAAAAAATAAAATAAAAACTATGGAATAGGAATAGATACTTATAATAACATATCTGATAAAGGGTAGGTATCCAAAATATACGAAGACTAATAAAACTCAACACCCAAAACACAAATAATCCAATTAAAAATGGGCAAAAGACTTGAAGAGGCACTTTGCCAAAGAAGACATAGAGATGGCCAAAAGACACACGAAAAGATGTTTCCTTCATCACTTACCATCAAGGAAATGCAAATTAAAACTACAATATCACCTCACACCTGTCAGGATGGCTAAAACCACCATGTGTTGGTAAAGATATGGAGAAAAAGGAACCCTTGTGCGCTGTTGGGAATGCAAGCTGGTACAGCCTCTGTGGAAAATAGTATGGAGGTTCCTCAAAATGTTAAAAAAAATAAAAGATCTATCTATGATCCAGCAATCACACAGCTGGGTATTTACCCAAAGAATACAAAAACATGGTGTCAAAAGCATAAATGCAGCCCCATGTTTATAGCAGCATTATTTATAAGAGCCAAGATATGGAAGTAGCCAAAGTGTCCATCAATTGATGAATGGATAAAGAAGATGTGGTATGTATGTGTGTACACACACACACACACACACACACACATATATATATACAATGGAATATTACTCAGCCATAAAAAGGAATGAAATTTTGCCATTTTACAACAACATGGATGGACCTAGAGAGTATAATGCTAAGTGAAATAAGTCAGTCAGAGAAAGACAAATCCCATATGATTTCACTCATATGTGGAAGCTAAGAAACTAAACAAATGAACAGAGAAAAAAGAGAGACAAATCAAGAAACAGATTCTTAATACAAAGAACAAACTCGTGGTTACCAGAGAGGAGGGGTGAAGGAATGGCTAAAATAAGTGATGAGGATTAAGGAGTGCACTTGTTTTGAGGAGCACAGAGTGATGTATGGATATGCGGAATCACTATATTGTACACCTGAAAGTAGAATTACACTCTATGTTAACTAACCAGAATTAAAATAAAAACTTAAAAAATATATGTATCTTCCAGACAGTGTTCCTTGGCCTCCCCATTTGGTTATAGGCCACCTGCTTCAGAAGATCTAAGGCATTCTATGTGTACGTCTCTTGTAGCGCTTAGCAGGTTTTATTCCAGACTATGGTTCTGCAGGAGTAGGATTTATATTATTCTTTGCATTTCAAAACAGCACTAGCACTTTGTACCTTACCTAGGCCGTACCCAGAATACCACAAAACTCCTAACACTTGAAATAAATTAAATTCAATCTAAAGTTTGCACACGGTAAGAAGTAGAGTTTTGTAAATATTTTATTTAAGAAAAAATAATTTAAGATACATAATGATTTGAATGTTCCAGCTATAAAACATATAATGTTCTTCTTAAGCTAAGGAACCAGCTACTACTCTTGAACTTCACATCCCAAGTCAATTCAAAAGTACATATAGACAGCAGCCTTTGCGATGTCAAAATATTTTTTAAAGCATATTTACTAAATTACTTTTAAATATTTGGTTTTACATTTGAACATTTCTTTTTTATTTTTATTTTTATTTTTTTTTAAAGAATTTTTTTTTTAATGTTTTATTTATTTCTAGGAGAGAGAGAGAGAAAGAGACAGTGTGAGCAGGGGAGGGTCAGAGAGAGAGGGAGTCACAGACCGAAACAGGCTCCAGGCTCTGAGCTGGCAGTCAGCCCAGAGCCCGACGCGGGGCTCGAACCCACGAACCGCAAGATCATGACCTAAGCGAAAGTCGGACACTTAACTGACTAAGCCACCCAGGCGCCCCTGAACATTTCTTTTTTAAAATCTCAATTATTTATAAGAAAAAGTATCCTTGACAGATTATTCAACCTTATAAACTATCATTAAAAGTGTAGATTTTTTTCTTAAATGTTTATTTAATTTTGAGAGAAAAACAGGGAACATGAGCAGGAGAGGGGCAGGGGGAGAGAAGGGGAACAGAGGATCTGAAGTGGGCTCTGTGCTGAAAGCAGAGAGCCCAAAGTGGGGCTCGAATGCACGAACCACGACATTCTGACCTGAGCCGAAATCAGACACTTAACCAACTGAGCCAGCCAGATGCCCTTAGAAGTACAGCTTTATCACAGCCAAGAGTTGATGCCGATCAGAACATTTAGTCACTATCTTATCTTCTGCTTTAACCTATATGCAGCACAGAAAACAGTTTCCCAAAATAAAATATGATGCTATCAATTTTCAGCTCTGTTAATAAGCTTCAATGTATTCCTCTAAAAATTTATTTTTTAAAATACTCCTAATTGAGATAATAAAACAAATTGAAGGAAAAAAGATTTCCAGCTTCCTTTGTTACCAAGAAAAATAAGACTGCAGCCTGGCAGACAGGAGAGCTATTAATTTCCAAGGAATCTAAGCCAGGCAAGTCAAGGCTTGAGTGTACTTCATCTAGAGGACACGATGTGTGGTGTGAGGCCTGAGAAGCAGTACACAGCGCCGCTGCAAGAACACTAAGTGAAACCGAGCAACTGCCTGACGCCTCATTACTGAGGATGCGCAGCAGCATCTGACCTACCTGGCTTATCCCTTCGGGGGAGATCTTGTAGGACTGCAACTTCTGCTTCAGCAGCTCTGGATCACTGTGACGGAATGGGCACCCTGACAACGAAAAACAAGCCAGCACACCAACAAGGTTATTTACCCGGGACTTAGTACAATACCACACTCCAGAGACTCTCTAAGCTCCCCTTAATTGTCTAACAGCTTATTAATAAAAAAGTTAATTGCCCATGGGTGCAACTGCTTTCCTCTCTTTATCTAAATGATGACTTAGTTGTATGGTTATCAGGGTACAACAGGCTCAAGAGTTACATTAAACATCACGGCATTCTCAGGCAAAGCTGCCCATTTGCTAGGAAGAGGAAACAGTTTTAATTATGCTACTTGCTAACAAGCAGAGATAACCACAAAGTAGCTATAAAACAGTTTATCTAAAAACTTTATATAATCTCACATTTTATTCCTCTTTTTAAAAATTATATTAAAAGACTCTGAGAGAAGATAATATAAACAAAAAGAAAAATGTATAAACTCAAAGAAATAAAAAAAACTCACATTTTCAGATGTAAATTTTATGTCTATTTCTCACAGAGTAAATCCATATAAATTTAGAGGAACCACAGATGGGAATGAGATGGACAAACAGGAAAGTATTTCATAGGAAAATAACTTATAGTAGATACATGTTATCTCTGTATTATTTCATGAGTAACACAATAATAATGATGGACTACTAAAGTATTTGCATAAATAAGAACACAGAAGAACTGAAATGTAAAAGCTGTATTACAAGGACAAAATCTAGGAAATTTCAGATATTTTAGTAATAAACAGCTGTAAATGAAAATACTTCTTTTAAAATTTAATTTTGGAAGCTAGATTACCTTCTTTTAGGTATACAGATGATGTGCCAATAAGTTAATTAGAAACAATTATGCATTGGGGGGAGGGGGCAAGATGGCGGAGAAGTAAGGAGCTCCGTACTTGCACTCGAGCCCATACATCACATGGAAAAGATCTGAAGCCACTGGAAACCTTACAAAACCTGAGAGATTGGGAGAAAAAGGACGCAGAATACACTGAGAAAGCCTTCTAATGGCTACCTCAAGAAACAAACCAGAGTAACAAGGTGCAGAGTCCCAAATATCACTACGAATAGGAAAATAAAATAACCAAGGTCCCAACAAGAAAGACCAAGAGATACCATTCAAAAAACACTCTATGAAAGGATAGGCCCTGGACAGTCAAAGAGTCTTCTTGGATAGAGCAGAACTCATAGATACAGAGACCATAACAGGTCTTTAAAACCAACAAGAGCCGGAAAGCTAACTAAAATGACGAAACGAAAGAGCTCTCCTCCAAAGAAACTCCAAGAAGAAATGACAGCTAATGAACTGCTCAAAACAGATAGCAGCAGCATCACTGAACAAGATTTTAGAATAATAATGGTAAAATTAATAGCTGGGCTTGAAAAAAACATAGGGGACATCAAAGAAACTATGGCTACAGACAGAATGGAAAATAAAAATAGGCATGAAGAATTAAAAAATGCGATAAATGAGATCCATAATAAATTAGAGGCCTCCAATGCACGGATTGAAGAGGCAGAAAGGAGAATAAGTGATTTAGAAGACACCATTATAGAAAAACAAGAAGCTGACAAAAAAAGAGACAAACTGATCCAGGAACAGGAAAGAAGAATTCGAGAGCTCAGCGATACGGTCAAACGCAACAATATCCGTATCATAGGAATCCCAGAAGAGGAAGAGAGAGGGAAAGGTGCTGAAGGAGTCCTGGAACAAATTATAGCAGAGAACTTCCCCGACCTGGGGAAGGAAGTAAATGTGGAAGTACAAGAGGCTCAGAGGACTCCCCTCAGACGTAACCTGAATCGATCTTCTGCACGACATATCATAGTGAAAATGGCCAAATACAAGGACAAAGAGAGAATTTTGAAAGCAGCTAGGGAGAAAAGGGCCCTAACATACAAAGGGAAACCTATCAGAGTGGTGACAGACCTATCTACTGAAACTTGGCAGGCTAGAAAGGAATGGCAGGAAATCTTCAATGTGATGAACAGTAAAAATATGCAGCCAAGAATCCTCTATCCAGCAAGCCTGTCATTCAAAATAGAAGGAGAGATAAAAACCTTTCCAAATAAACAGAAATTGAAAGAATTTGTCACCACGAAGCCAGCCCTACAAGAAATCCTGAGGGGGATGCTCTGAAGGAAAGGTTGCAAGGAACAAAGATACCAGAGACACCACCACAAACATGAACCCTACAAAAGATACAAAGACTCTAAACCCACATATTTCAATAATAACACTGAATGTAAATGGGCTGAATGCTCCAATCAAAAGACATAGGGTAGCAGAATGGATTAAAAAACAAAATCCATCAATATGCTGTCTACAAGAAACTCATTTTAGACGGGAAGATACCTTCAGATTAAAAGTAAGGGGATGGAGAAATATATATCATGCTACAGGAAATCAAAAGAAAGCCGGAGTAGCGATACTTATATCAGACAAACTGGACTTTAAATTAAAGACAATCACAAGAGATGAAGAAGGGCACTACATAATAATTACAGGGTCCATCCATCAGGAAGAACTAACAATCATAAATGTCTACGCACCGAATATGGGAGCACCTAAATATCTAAAACAATTAATCACAAACAGAAACAAGCTTATAGATAAGAATGTGCTAATAGCAGGGGACTTTAATACTCCGCTTACAGCAATGGATAGGTCAACCAGACAGAAAATCACTAAAGAAATAATGGACTTGAAAGACACATTGGACCAGATGGATCTGACGGATATATTTAGAACTTTACATCCTGAGGCCAGGGAATTTACTTTCTTCTCAAGTGCGCATGGCACATTCTCCAAGATAGATCACATACTGGGACATAAAGCAGCCCTCAATAAATATAAAAGAATAGAGATCATACCATGCACACTGTCAGATCACAATGCTTTGAAACTTGAAATCAATTACAGGAAGAAGTCTGGAAAACCGCCAAAAACATGGAGGTTAAAGAACACCCTTCTAAAGAATGAATGGGCCAATCAGGCAATTAGAGAGGAAATTAAAAAATATATGGAAACAAATGAAAATGAAAACACAACAATTCAAAATCTATGGGATGCGGCCAAGGCAGTCCTAAGAGGAAAGTACATTGCTCTCCAGGCCTATTTCAAGAGATTAGAAAAAGCACAAGTCCAAAATCTAACAGCTCACCTAAAGGAGCTAGAGGCAGAGCAACAAGAACGCCCTAAACCCAGTAGAAGAAGAGAAATAGTAAAAATTAGAGCAGAAATAAACAACATAGAGACCAAAGAAACAATTGAACAGATCAATGAAACCAAGAGTTGGTTTTTTGAAAAAGTAAACAAAATTGACAAACCTCTAGCCAGGCTTATCAAAAAGAAAAGAGAGAGCACCCAAATAGACAAAATTATGAATGAAAATGGACTTATTACAACCAACCCCTCAGAAATACAAGCAATTATCAGGGAATACTATGAAAAATTATATGCCAACAAATTGGACAACTTAGAAGAAATGGACAAATTCCTAAACACACACTCACTACCAAAATTCACACGGGAAGAAATAGAAAACCTGAACAGACCCATAACGAGTGAAGAAATCGAATCAGTGATCAAAAATCTCCCAACAAATAAGAGCCCTGGACCTGATGGTTTCCCTGGGGAATTCTACCAGACATTTAAAACAGAATTAATCCCAATTCTTCTCAAGCTATTCCAAAAAATAGAAGTCGAAGGAAAACTCCCGGACTCATTTTATGAAGCCAGCATCACTCTGATTCCCAAGCCAGACAGAGATCCAGCAAAAAAAGAGAACTATAGGCCAATATCCTTGATGAATACGGATGCAAAAATTCTCAACAAGATCCTTGCAAATCGAATCCAGCAGCATATCAAAAGAATCATCCACCAAGATCAAGTGGGATTCATTCCTGGGTTACAGGGCTGGTTCAACATTCGCAAATCAATCAATGTGATCCATCATATCAATAAAAGAAAAGATAAAAACCATATGATCCTGTCAATAGATGCAGAAAAAGCATTTGACAAAATACAGCATCCCTTCTTAATAAAGACTCTCGAGAAAGTTGGGATAGAAGGAACCTACTTAAACATCATCAAAGCCATCTATGAGAAGCCTTCAGCTAACATCATCCTCAACGGGGAAAAACTGAGAGCTTTCCCCCTGAGATCAGGAACACGACAGGGATGTCCACTCTCACCACTGTTGTTTAACATAGTGCTGGAAGTCCTAGCATCAGCCATCAGACAACAAAAGGAAATCAAAGGCATCAGAATTGGCAAAGAGGAAGTCAAACTTTCACTCTTCGCAGATGACATGATACTCTACATAGAAAACCCGACAGACTCCACCAGAAGCCTACTAGAACTGATCCAAGAATTCAGCCAAGTTGCAGGGTACAAAATCAACGTACAGAAATCGGTTGCATTTTTATACACCAATAATGAAGCAACAGAAAGAGAAATCAAGAAACTGATCCCATTCACAATTGCACAAAAAACCATAAAATACCTCGGAATAAACCTAACCAAGGATACAAGAGATCTGTATGATGAAAACTATAGAAAACTTATGAAGGAAATTGAAGAAGACACAAAGAAATGGAAAAACATTCCATGCTCATGGATAGGAAGAATAAATATAGTTAAGATGTCATTACTACCTAAAGCACTCTACACATTCAATGCAATTCCAATCAAAATTGCACCAGCATACTTCTCAAAACTAGAACAAACTATCCAAAAATTTGTATGGAACCACAAAAGACCCCGAATAGCCAAAGTAATACTGAAAAATAAAACCAAAACGGGAGGTATCACCATCCCAGACTTCAGCCTCTACTACAAAGCTGTCATCCTCAAGACAGTATGGTATTGGCACAAAAACAGACACATAGACCAATGGAACAGAATTGAGAACTCAGAAGTGGACCCAAAAGTATACAGCCAACTGATCTTTGACAAAGCAGGAAAGAATATCCAATGGAAAAAAGACAGCCTTTTTAACAGATGGTG